AAGTTCAGCAGAGTATATATATATAAATCAATTGTTTCTAATATTGATGATAGTTCAAGCTCACTAATTTTGTTCATTAAATTTATAAAACTAAAAATTGTGGCATAACAGAAATTGATCGTAATTCATGATCTCCACTACAGATTTAATAATTCATGTATAAAATGTTTACAATATAAACACACTAGGATAGGAATCCATTAAAAGTAGAAAGTCCTTTTCAGTATGCTAAATCAATATAAGCTAAATCCATATAAGGAGGATTGAATTATAATTCGGGTTTTTGTCTTGAATATTATTAATAAAAGGACAATGGGCAAAAAAGTGACCTCTTTTAAAAATTCCTGAAATGTGACTAATAAATGACAAACTTGCTTATATACACACTGCTACAGTGACACGCTACAGTGACACGAGACACAGTGACACGAGACACAGTGACATCCACCCTCCTTGCCACCACCTCCCACCAGTGACCGCCGCCGCCGCCAGAGACCGCCGCCGACCATAGTGACAACGACCATAGTGACACAATATTGACGTTGTCACTGCCTAGTGACTGATTTTTCAGTGACGCCACCCGTCAAAAGTTACTCCGGCCGCTACCACCGCCCTGTCACTATGATCGTCGGAAAATTTTCCGGCTACAGCTCTGCTGCCGCCGTGGACGAAGCCGACCCCTTCTACCTGCCAACTACTGCCACACCACAGCTCAACCATGGTCAACCCTAACCAGATCCAGTTCGGACAGATCTGAAAGTCTAGCGGCCACAATCCTTTAGATCCGATAGAGATCCGACCGATTGAGAAGAAAGGAGAAGAAAATATGAGCGGAGGTGAGGCGACGGGATGGGCGGCAGCAGAGCTCGAGGCGGTGGCTTCGTCGGTAGCAGAGCTTGAGGCGGTAGCTTCGTCAATGGCGGAAGCAGAGATCGAGGCGGTGGCTTCGTCCATGGCGGTAGCAGATCTCGAGGCGGTGGCTTCGTACATAGCAGCAGCAGAGCTCGAGGCGGTGGCCAGCTTCATCCACGGCGGCAGCAGGGCTCACAGGCGGCGACTTTGTCCAAGGCGGCAACAGAGCTCACAAGAGAGAGGGATGAGATGCAGAGGATATTGAGTTCACAGGAGAGAAGGATGCGTTGCTCTGTGCGTGAAGCCTTTTCCGTCCAGGGGGTTTGTGCGGAGGAGGAGAAGGGGTTGTGGTTCTGCTATGCGGACAGAGTTTTTAGATCACATTTTTGGGAAAAGCAAAAGGAGCCGTATTTTGGTCTCTTCAAAGTGCCCAGGTCATATGTGTGCCATTCTTTCCAAATCAAATGTATCAGTAAGGACCTAGGTCGTTAAACAACTCAACTCCAACTGACATTCAGACATTTCCTTTCAAAAGACGAAGTTCAAAATCGGCCTACAATCCGGCTTCTTCATATAAATGTATGTCATCCGTCTGCAGATATGCTAATCGGCTTTAATCTAGCGGCACCATCGCGCTTAACAGAGTAGATTTTTAGAATAATCTGTCTCCTCTTTTAGCAGAACATCAAGATTTTGCCTATCCCAATTTGAACTTAAGAGAATCCTCGCGGCACCTTGATCAATCGTATTTCCATGATTCGTCCAATAATCCGCTTCTCAAATTGGTATTGCTTTTGATTTTTGTGGATTGGTTAATTTGTATTTGATCTAATGTCCGCTAGAGTGTTTTTTGTAAACATTGGAGTGATCTGTTCATTTGCTTAATATTAATTTATTATTTTATCTATGTCCACATGAATTATGAATGGCACACATATGACCTGGGCACTTTGAAGAGACCAAAATACGGCTCCTTTTGCTTTTCCCAAAAATGTGATCTAAAAACTCTGTCCGCATAGCAGAACCACAACCCCTTCTCCTCCTGCGCACAAACCCCCTGGACGGAAAAGGCTTCACGCACAGAGCAACGCATCCTTCTCTCCTGTGAACTCAATATCCTCTGCATCTCATCCCTCTCTCTTGTGAGCTCTGTTGCCGCCTTGGACAAAGTCGCCGCCTGTGAGCCCTGCTGCCGCCGTGGATGAAGCTGGCCACCGCCTCGAGCTCTGCTGCTGCTATGTACGAAGCCACCGCCTCGAGATCTGCTACCGCCATGGACGAAGCCACCGCCTCGATCTCTGCTTCCGCCATTGACGAAGCTACCGCCTCAAGCTCTGCTACCGACGAAGCCACCGCCTCGAGCTCTGCTGCCGCCCATCCCGTCGCCTCACCTCCGCTCATATTTTCTTCTCCTTTCTTCTCAATCGGTCGGATCTCTATCGGATCTAAAGGATTGTGGCCGCTAGACTTTCAGATCTGTCCGAACTGGATCTGGTTAGGGTTGACCATGGTTGAGCTGTGGTGTGGCAGTAGTTGGCAGGTAGAAGGGGTCGGCTTCGTCCACGGCGGGCAGCAGAGCTGTAGCCGGAAAATTTTCCGACGATCATAGTGACAGGGCGGTGGTAGCGGCCGGAGTAACTTTTGACGGGTGGCGTCACTGAAAAATCAGTCACTAGGCAGTGACAACGTCAATATTGTGTCACTATGGTCGTTATCACTATGGTCGGCGGCGGTCTCTGGCGGCGGCGGCGGTCACTGGTGGGAGGTGGTGGCAAGGAGGGTGGATGTCACTGTGTCTCGTGTCACTGTGTCTCGTGTCACTGTAGCGTGTCACTGTAGCAGTGTGTATATAAGCAAGTTTGTCATTTATTAGTCACATTTCAGGAATTTTTAAAAGAGGTCACTTTTTTGCCCATTGTCCTTTTATTAATAATATTCAAGACAAAAACCCTTTGATTTGTTATCTACATACGGAGTTTTTAGTAACTTTATTAGAGAATTTTTTTTATTTTTGTAAGTGTCAGCAAAACATAATTATATTTTTTCTAAACAACTACGAGTACTTGTTTAACCAAGCCATAAAGGATAGTTTTTGTTATGTATTGATTATATAATATCAAATCAATAAAGAATCCAATATTTTTCTTGTCACTCAAAAGTGTCAATTATTGTGACACTTTTGAATGTGTCAATAAAAGTGTGTGTCAACAAATGTAACATTTCTTGTAGTGTCAACAGTTCAAATTAATTCAGCACTTCAATATTTTGTTCTATTATAAATCATATGTCCTTTAATGTAATTTCATATTATTCCGACACTTTTTCAGCTTTATGTAGCGAATGAGTTTGCTTCATTCACTTAGTTATTCAGATTCAGCACTTTCAAAGTTCAGCTCCAGACAATAGTCTCTGATTCAGACAATAGCCTCTAGTTCAAACATTAGTCTCCAGCTTCAGCTCGTTGTGCCAAACATAACCAAAGCCTATTTGGTAACTCTGTCTTCAACGGACATACTCCCTCTGTCCCCCAATTAAGCTCCCCATTGCTTTTCACACTTGTTAAGAAAAAAAATTACTATGATAAACTTTACTGTTTGGACACTGTTTGGATACTGTTTGGATATTGTTTGGCACTGTTTAGCACAATTTGATTTTGATGTAGTTAATTTGTCAAATAAGGAAAGTAGAACTTAAGGACTACCAAAAAAAGGAAAGGAGGGACTCAATTGAGTATAAATTTGTAGTGATCTCTCTCACTATTTACCGTCACAATTAGTTCTGACTTCTGATTACCTTTTGCAGCCGGCAAAACCAATCAATCCATATTTATTTGATGCATGATCTATTAGGTCCGATCGATCCTCCTCTTATCTCCGTGTTGACTTAGCTTGTATATACTCCATTTATGTTCTTGTGAAGCCAATTAATTTATCAATCAACTTTGTTTATAATCATGTGAGCACATCAACTTACAACTAACCTAGCCACTCTCTTTTACTACGTATTTATTTATTTTGTGTCAAAGCCTAGAGGTGCCACGTACATCAGTACACAAAACCTCCAATTATTGTTAAATACTAGTTTAATTTTTAGTACAAATTAACAATACAAATTCATATATATCTATATATCAGGCCTTGCATGGTCTCTAGCTAGCTAGCTAAACAGTACTTCAAGCAGGGGCGGATCTAGCCCTAGGCCAGGGTGGGCCTAGGCCCCACCTCAAAAAAAATAAAATTACTAGTATATATATGTATATTATGTTATATATAATTCCTTTAGAATGATATAAAATTTAAAAAAAGGCAGTTAGTGCATAGTTGATAGGTTGGCAAGATGGAAGAAGTTTAATGCACATGCCTCATATGTCGGGAGTTCGAAACTCATCAAGAGTTTTTTTATTGATTTTTTAATAGAGAGCATAGCTTACAAATTTCAATTTTCTTTCTTAAAATCTCTGTCCTTCAAACATACGGAGTATCTATTTAACACTAATCTTCTAAGATCAATTACTACAAGGCTATCACCAATTGATCTCAATTCTCAAATGTTAGATGAGCTACATGCTAATATTGTGAATGCTATTGGTCTTTTTGAATATTAGTCTGAAAAATTAATTTGTTCAATTCATTGGATTTGGTATGTGAAAATTAGTTCAATATGTATGAGTTTGATGTGTTTTTTGCGTTCGACAGAGATTCTTATTCCTGTTATATTTATTTCGTCTTTGACATTTATGTTGAAATAGATTTTATTTTAAATATTTGAAAATAAATCTTGTCAAATAACATACTCCCTCTGTCCCTAAATTTACTTCCATTTCGCTTTTCGAGAGTCAACTTAAATCACTCTTAAACTCTTACTTTTTGTATCGAAACTTTATGAAAATTGTTTTTTTTTTGTGCAGACTTTGTAGCGGGTTTAATGTAGTTTCTGAATATGTAAATTTTATTTACTAAAAATAATCCGAGTTTTCACAGGGATCAATTAACTTTATCGTTGGTCAACCTTCGTAATCCGCAATCGGAACAACATTCAGGGACGGAGGGAGTACTATTTTACTACATTTTGACTTTTCTTGTAATATACATTATTTACTAAGATTTTGGCCCCACCTGAATGGCTATGCTGGATCCGCCCCTGACTTCAAGCATTATTATTTCATCATATGTAGTAAAATTTACGTGGAGAAGTACATATATGAAGTGGTGGGAAATGATGAGCTCAAAGGTTGAGAAACAGACACAGAATCTGGGGGAGAGAGCGAAGAGGATGCCGGGGTTAACGTGGGAGAGGTTTGTGAGTGTGGGACGGGAAGATCCCCGGAGATTAATTCACGCCGTCAAAGTTGGGATATCATTAACGTTGGTGTCTCTGCTGTATCTATTGGAGCCATTGTTCAAGGAAGTGGGTCAGAACGCCATTTGGGCTGTCATGACCGTGGTTGTCGTCCTAGAATTCACCGCCGGTAAATACTCTCTCCGTCCCTCTAAGATTATCTCGTTTTTCATTTTTAGGAAATCCCACTACGATTGTCTCATACCAAATTTGGTAAAGTTTGTGTGACTCTAAATTATTTTTACTTTATTTTTATTTTATCAATTCAATATGAACCAATACAAGCAATTTTAAAATTTGGGTTGGGCCGTGGCCCGGTTGGCCACCCCTCCACCTCCGCCCCTGTATGGAACATTGGAGTGGTCTGATCTGTTTAAATCTGGTCTGGTTTGTTTAAGGCTGATCTAATCTTGTCTGAAACTAAAACGAATCTAAGTAAAATCATCCTAAACATCATAAACGCACTTGTTATAAAACGTAAATTATCATTTGACCCTGAGATTAAGTCGTTGTGATTCTTGTGAAACAAGAATGCCATCATTATAACACTGTACGGAGTACTAAAATTATCAATTCATAATATCATCATCATATCATATCAAAGTCATCACGAAGCAATAATGACATCACAAAATGGTGACACAAAACAAATGTCATCTTGATGGACACTTTATTTTTTTTACAAAACAAATGTCATCTTGATGGACACTTTATTGGCATATTGACTTACAGAAAATACATTTTATTGGCATTTTATCTACTTTCAAAAAAATATGCCAGCTTGAGTCTCATAAAATTGGCATCGTGATTGATGGATCAAACAAACCAATGTACAAAAAATATTGTCCATCTCGAGTGCATCACGTGAGCTAACATGCATAGCTAGGGTTATGCTAGATGCATCATGCATGTTATATATACATGTGGGGGACATTGAATCGGGGAGTTTTGGTCTTAGGGTTGGTTTGCAACCACTTTAAAAAAACACTTCTCAGCTTTTAGCTTTAAAAAAGTACTTTTTTTATCAAAGACTACAACTTTTATTTTTCTCGACTTTCGTATCAAAAATGCTTTTACTTTTTCCATTACACAAAAAACACTTATTTTACCAAACACTATCAACTTTTACTTTTCAAAATCACTTTTTTCTCAAACACTATCAACTTTTATTGGGAAAACTGTCAAATAGGTCCTCGAACTTTCATAAAAAGGTCAATTAAGTCCTTCTATAGGAGGTTCTGTCCGGCCGTCGCAATTTGGGGCAGTTCCAGGTGGAATTTTTTGATGAAATTTTTTGAGCATCTTATTCACCAAGTCTAGTTTATTCTTACCAAATTTCAGCTAAAAATTCAATCGGGAACACATTCAAATTAATTCTTGAAGATAATTGCGCATTTTTGCGTTCTCGAATTAATTTGAATGCGCTTCAGATTAAATTTTTAGCTGAAATTTGGTATGAGTAAACTAGACTTGATGAATAAGATGCTCAAAAAAGTTCATCAAAAAATTCCACCGGGAACCGCCCCAAATCGCGACGACCGGACAGAGTCTCCTATAGAAGGACTTAATTGACTTTTTAATGAAAGTTCGAGGACCTATTTGACAGTTTTCCCTCTTTTATTTAATCATTTCTCCCCATTTCATTAAAAAAGCACTTTTTCTAAAGCAGAATCTGTTGCAAACATACCCTTAAAACATGAGTAAACACAAACACTATTAAGTGACACTTTTATGCAAAATTTGTTTTTTTAAGGAATGTAAAAAAAATTGTTTTGACAAATTAAAAAAAATGCCGTCATTTAACTTGATTAAATCGGATGTATTTTTGAATTATTTATTATTTATAGTTGTAACGAATATATCTCCATAGTTGCGATTTCGTTTTATATTATGAAAACGAATAAATTAAAGTTGTAGGTACTATATTTCAGATGTCTTATTTATGTAAATTAAAGTTCACTTCTGGTTGGACATTTTTTTTATTCTTTTACTCTTTTAGTAAGACTAAATAATGAAATAATTATGTAAATATTACTAAAATCAAGATGATGGAAATAATGTGACCTCCTCTATGTAGTTACTATATTGGTAGTTACTATAGACATATTCAATTTTAATTTACACGTACTTTACACTCATGATAACTTTAATCACATTTTTGTCCAAGAGCTGAATATGAGTAATATTTCAGGAAAACCTCATAAGTTATTGCTATTTCGAGAAGAAGACATATTTAATAATATTTTAATCCATAATGTTACATATTTTTGCTCCTAATTTTGAGCAATTCCTTTATATATAAAAAGAGGAGACTATTCGATCTCCTCATGCACATTATGTAAGTTTTGCTCAAACTTAATGTACGGCTTTGAAAACAACTATGTATTGCTTTTGACAGTTGGTTTATCTTAAAAGTTTTAAACATGAGGCTAAAAATACAAATGATTCTTATTTGAGCATTGAAATAAATGTCCAAAAACATAATTAAGATATATTATTGCAGGAGCAATAACAACATACATGAGATTTTTTCCGTACATAAGGAAACATTACGACTATGGTTTGGTGATATTCATGTTGACCTTCAACTTGATCACGGTTTCGAGTTATCGGGTGGAGCACATACTCAAAATGGCCCAACAACGGGTCTACACTATAGCCATTGGGTGTGCAATCTGTTTGCTAATGAGTTTATTGTTCTTTCCAAATTGGTCTGGAGAAGACCTCCATCATTCCACTGTTAGCAAGTTTGATGGCCTCGCCAAATCCATTGAAGGTATCTATATCTACTTAGCTATACTATTGGTTGTTTACTTTTTTTTCTATTAAGTTATGTCTCAATTAAGATACTTGTCTGGTTTAAGATGTTAATATGAATAATCAATTTTGTATTATTCATGAGTTATAATGTCAGTGAGAAAAATATAAATCAATTTCACAATCGATTTAAATAAATGAAAGAAAATGTGTCTTAATGCTAGGACTATTGTTTTCTATCTTAATAATTGAGTCATTTTTAAGTCATGCTTTCAATTAAGTCGTAAGCAAACATGACTAATCGCTGAATGAATAAGTAGATATTCTCATTAATTTCATTAGCTCAAAAGTAAACATCTCCTATATCTACTTGCTACGATCCCCTTTTCATTTAATTTTTTTCCCTATATTCGACTCCTCAATTTTTGCATTTTTCCTATATTTTGATTCCTATAAATGTTTGAAATATAAAAACTAAATGACCAAGTAATAAGAAATATCGATAGCTAGCCACAATTTCAATTAACTTTTCCTCAGATGACTAAATTACTTCAATAAAACGAGTTATGCGACCGGTGGGTAGATTTCATTGTAATTAGATCTCTAGGTATTCGTTAAGTGATTGAAAATTTGAATTGAGTGATATGATTTATTGAGGAGAAGTTGGTATGTGTAATTTATTACCCCACTAGCTATTTCCAATATGTTCTCAAATTAGAATATTAGATTGATTGGAACAAATTGTCCAAGTTAAATAAAACATGAAAGAGAACATATTAATTAAGGCATTCTTATGTATTGGTAACATTGGCTTTCAAAAAAAGTATTGGTAACATTTATGTCCAATAAACTGATGTTATAGCTAGCATTGGTAACATTTATGTCCTATATTCTAATTCTAAGAGGTTAATTTATTGATGTCACGAACCATATATAAGTATTAACACTGCTAGACAATGATATATTTGTAGATTGTGTAAAAGGGTATTTTAGCGACGGAGAGCTAGAAATAGGCAAAACAGAAGCACTGGATTCGGAGGACCCAATCGGCAAGAGCTACAAAGCTGTTTTGGATTCAAAGTCCATAGACGAGAACCTTGTGAGTTATTAAAAACGTCACTTTTGAAACATGACTGATTAAATACTTATGTTCTAAAAAATAGCTTTGTAGGACACAACAGAGGATCTATGTATGGGATATGGTGAGTTTAAGCTCGGGACAAATTTTTTTTCCAATTGTTTAGTGCAAACATTTTGTGCTCACCCCACTAATGTATAAACCTTTTATGTAGTATAATTTCTTTTCAACTCAGTCTAACTCAAATTCCTAGATTTGTCCTTATGGGAAATGTTCCTTCTAAAATGGAAATCATTTTGGACCTTATAGATAATATCAGAAATGTCAGACGTGGAAATCCCGTTTTTTGGTAATTCCTTCTCTCTGCTGTATCTATTGGAGCCATTGTTCAAGGAAGCGGGTCAGAACGCCATTTGGGCTGTCATGACCGTTGTTGTCGTCCTAGAATTCACCGCCGGTAAATACTCTCTCCGACTTCTCCGTCCCTTTAAGATTATCTCGTTTTTTTCATTTTTAGGAAATCACATCAAGATTGTCTCATATCAAATTTGTTAAAATTTGTGTTATTCTAAATTATTTTCATTTTATTTTACTTCATCGATTAAATATCAACTACATAAATTCAATTTTCTTAATAACTGTGTGACTCTCTCGTGTCCCGGTGTTAGTGGGATAGAGGTAGTATACCATACCGTACATGCTCATACACATACTCCAATAGTACAATATACTTCGTATATCTTTGTTTCAAATCTTTTTTCTGGACAATTTGAGATAAGATTATTTATTGTGTAGAGAATCACTCAAATAGGACTAGAGCACTGGGATTATAATGAAAATATGCACGAAACCATGATTTTTCCATATTATCTAGTAGCAGTAAAATTGAGAGTCACCATGTTTTTACTTTGATTGAATTTGTTGGTATGATTCTGGTCTGATCTGGTTTTGGTCTGATAAATGTCTAATCTCTGTGTATTTTATAACTATTTAAATCTGGTCTGGTTGTGATTTGATTTATTTAAGTCCGGTCTGATCATGATATGTCTGGGACTAAAAATAGTCCAAGTAAAAACACACTAAACATCAGAAATGCACTTAGCTTGTTATAAAACGTGAATTATCTTTTGACCCTATGATTAAGTCTTGTGAAACAAGAACGCCGTCATTATAACATTATACTTAAATTATCAATTCATGATATCGTCATCAAGTCAGATTGTCATCATCATATCAAATTCATCACCAAGCAATAATGACATCACAAAATGGTGACACAAAACAAATGTCATCTTGATGGACACTTTATTGGAAATATTGACTTACAGAAAATACATTTTATTGGCATTTTATCTACTTTCAAAAAATATGCCACCTTGAGTCTCATAAAATTTGCATCTTGATTGATGGATCAAACAAATCAATCTACAAAAAATATTGTCGATCTCGAGTGCATCACATGAACTAACATGCCTAGGGTTATGCTAGATGCATGGGCGAAGCTAGGGGTGGGCCAACCTAGGCCCTGGCCCACCACAAATTTTAAAAATACCTTATTGTTTAGTGTAAAATATCGTCGTGGCTCTTCATGGTTGTTTACAAACTGAAATTCAGGTAATGAATATCTAAAGTTCCATTTTTATAGGGTTAAATACATTGAATAATCTCATAGTCTCATATGACTCAGTAAATGGTTATGGCGCAGTTTTAAAATTGAGTAGTCTTTATATATTGTTAAAGATATTTCATTCATTTTGGTTCTAGGTATGTTAATTAATCAACACTTTTGTGGTTAAATGAAATATGTTATAGACTCCTCAATCTCTTCGTTGTCTCTTCAAACACCCGTGCATTCGCCTCGCGGGAGAAGTATCAAAAGCTTTGAGGAAACTCGGTGACAGCATTCGCAACTGTCGACAGTGCTCGCCAGAAATCCTCTCCGACCACCTCCACAAAGCCCTTCAAGACCTCCACTCAGCCATAAAGTCCCAACCACGACTCTTCCTCGGCAGTCGGAGCAACACCTCTAACATGCTGGCCATGGCTGCAGCTGCAGCGAGGGAGCAAAACAAGCTGTCGCTTTCCAGCGTGAAGACGGACACATCGGCACTAATGGAGTGGAAGTCGAGAAAGGGAAGCTCAAGGGGGAGAGAAGAGGAGAGGAAGACATTAAGACCTACGCTGAGCAAGATAGCAATCACTTCGTTGAACTTCTCGGAGGCACTGCCATTCGCGGCGTTTGCGTCGTTGTTGGTGGAGCTGGTGGCAAGGCTGGAGAGTGTGATTGAGGATGTGGAGGAGTTGGGGAAGATAGCGCATTTCAAGGAGTTTGACGGTTGTGATGGGGTGATCATGATTAATAATAATGATGATGATGCTGCAAGGAAAAAGCCCAAGAAAAAGGCCATTGAGGGTCTTGATAACCCTTTGCAAAACCAGTTACCCTCTCAAGCAATGTAGCCTACATATATATGCTTATTTCCTTGCTTCTTTGTAGTATACTCTCAATAATCAATATTAGTATGATATTATTGTTCATTGTTATAAATGTCATATTGCACTAATCTTCGCAGAATGATACTTCGTTATTAAATAAAAAACTTTTATGTATTTATAAATTGTAAGACTTGCTTTTATTCCGCAATTATGCAATTAGGCTTGAGACACATTTTATATTCTCATAATTATCATCAATTTTCTTGGCATCAATTACTGCTCGTGGTTTGTGGTTACTTGTTATTATTGTTAATTAATATAGGTACTATTAATTTTAGGTGAGAACTCCGGTACCCATTTAAAAAATGGGGTACCGTACCTACCATTCACTTGATTGGTCCACATAGGTATATCAATTTTAATTTAGACTTAAATAATTCAATTGCAACATTCTGATTGGTCCATGTGGACAAAGGTACGGTACCTTTTGGGTACCATAGAATCTACCTTAATTTTAAATGTTGTTTAGAACGTGCAGTTCACCCTCTCAAAAAACCAATTTAGTGTCTATTGAAATTTCAGAGCACAAAAACAATCTACTTAATAGGACCTACCAAATGGAATTCGAGTTACATATGCATAAATTTAGAATAAAGCTTAACCCATGTAGAGTTGTAGACTACTTTTTTTGGCAATATGTGTAGTACTTTTAAAACAGGTAAAGCATGAAGAATTGAAGAGAGGCATCAAAACCGACACGTCCAATCGGGGAACCGTCTAATCTAATATCTGGTCAAAGCGTTGGGGTTTTAAAGACAAGTACATACGGAGTATACACAAAGAATAATGCAAAATGAGTTTTGTGCAACATTAAATGCTTATATATTTGAGTTTTTTCCGTATTAATGCTAATTAATTAAGTATTTACGAAAATAGGGTTGGGTTAAAAGTATTTACGGATATACTGTTGGGCTTAACCCTGGTCGAGGTAAGTCGCCAAATCGTTTGGCGACTTATAAGTCGCCCAACCGGATGGCGACTTATAAGTCGCCCAACAGTTTGGCGACTTAACCATAAATTAAAAAACCGGGTTAAGCTAAGCTATAAAAAAAAAGAGGGGCAAAATTGTCTTTTGAGACCCGCTGAATTTTACGACTATCGTGTCCGCAGGTCGCCCGCGCAGGAGACCTGAATTTATGTAATACGTTACAAACAAACTTTTTGGTCTTCAGAAACACAAGACGTGTTTCTGGGAAAATTTTTGTGTGTTTCAGAAATGTATTTTTTGTTATGTCTGTTTTTGAAACTACAAAAAAATGGAAACATACACAGACAAATGCAACACAAATCACAGACAAGTACTACACAAATCACAGACAAAATTGTATTACAGCACAAACACATAGTCGGCTCCTAAACTTCTAGTTCAATTCAGAACTAGAAGCCAGAATTCTTGTGTGCGCGAGAGATCCCCTCTTCTCATTCACCTTTTAATACTAAGTGAAGAGTGGTTCATATTTATAGGCTCAAAAGTTCCCAAGAAGTTTAGGTGTGGGAAAGTTTAAAAGATTCCTTTTTCTCCTATACTTGAGAAGAGCATTTTTTCCATCTACCTTCTTTAAGAGCTAGTTTTTGAGCCACTTCAAACTTCAAAGTCTAAAACTCCAACACCAAAGTTCAACACTACAATCAAAGTTTCCAAGAGTCAACCTTGAGATTAAAAAAAATCAAGGTTAAGACTATTTTTCTCAAACTCCAAGCTACATCTCAAGGTCCAGGAATTTGCAGAAAATTTCAATCAGCCTCACGTCTACAGTCAACATTCAACAATCAACAATGGATGTCTCTAACTTGCATTGGCCCCATTAAAACTGATTGAATGTCTAGATTGAAAGTTTTGCCTCCAAGAATCAACCTGAATTTTGAACTCCGTTAAAATGGGATGTATTTTTTAAACTTGAATTATACATCAATGAGCATAGATTGAGTTATATTTAATGTCTTTCTTCATTTGGGCAAACAGGTGTAAGGGAAACACTGTCAATTTAGTTATCCATTTTTCTACCTTTTTCATTATATGATATAATGAAAAAGGTAGTTCTTTTTACAGGAGAAGAAGCGTGCTCTTCTGGGCTTATTCAGTTTGTGATGGATGTCATGATAAAGGGAACTTACAAAGTGGGAATCAAATCCGTGTCTATCATTTTTGGTATTTTCTTTACCCTCACCAAATAAGTTTATTTTTTCATATAATCATCGTTAGTTTTCGATAAACCAATTAACAAGAGTAAAATATGTTTACTTCAATGCTTACTAACTGCATCATTGTTAGTTTTTGATAAATTAAAGGTGTTTATTTTCATGTATATTCACGCCTTGGTGGTTTATGAACTTTCAAACCTAATGTTTACATTTAAGTAGAGTAAGAGTTTTCTTCACATCAATCTCTCAGTAAGTAAACAGTTCAAGGTCATGCTAATGGTAGTGTGATGGTTGAAACGAATTTGGATATGAACATGTGAAGACAATTTCAAGACTCATTAAAGTAGACGTGATTATTTGTTGACTGTCAGATTTGCTTATCTCAGACTCATCAGAAACCTTAGCGCATTTGTTCTTACACATTGATGAGTTAGAGACATCCATTGCTGATTGTTGAATGTTGACCGTAGACGTGAGGTTGATTGAAATTTTCTGCAAATTCCTGGACTACATGGATTTGGTTGTTAAATGTAGGAGGTTGTACAATGTTACACTATCAATGTTGTACAATGTCCTAGAATGTACTCTCAAGGATTACCAGAATTGGTGGCATACACTCACTTTTGGTTTTTGTGGCAATATATACGGATGATGTATTTGCTTGTGAAGAGGAAAAACCTTGTATGTGCTGTTATACGACTTTGTCTGTGATTTGTGTGTTGTTATCTGTGATTTGTGTCGTAGTGATTAAAATAAATTAATAACTAGTTTATGTAATTAATAACTACAACGTTTAGAGATAATTGGTATCATTTCGCCACAAATAAATAATTGTTGAAATTTGTATAAGAGAGGGGAATAAATTAAATCAAAATATTAAGAAATTATTACTCACTTTATAATTTTAATATTTCTAACAAATTAATAATAAAAGTAATCAAAAGTAGATATGTGAGAAATGTTAAATTCAATAACTTTTATGTAATTTAATATTCCACTAATTTATGTAATTTAAAAATAACTTTCTAACATTCCACTACTTTATGTAATTTAATTACTTTTATTTGAAAAACTTTACTTGTTTTATACTTCGTAGATGTTTAAATAGTAATAGTATATGTAACCCATTGTCTAATGTGTTTGTGCTGTAATACAATTTTGTCTGTGATTTGTGTAGTACTTGTCTGTGATTTGTGTTGCATTTGTCTGTGTATGTTTCCATTTTTTTGTAGTTTCAAAAACAGACATAACAAAAAATACATTTCTGAAACACACAAAAATTTTCCCAGAAACACGTCTTGTGTTTCTGAAGACCAAAAAGTTTGTTTGTAACGTATTACATAAATGTCTGTGAACAAATATGCATGCACATTTACATCAAACTAAGATTTAAATATTGATACACGTGTAATTTCCGTATTTATGTTTGCAGTTTTAGTTACTTTTTGTAGTTTAGCATTTTGGAAATTACACACTTTTGGTGTAATAGTTTAGTTTATTTAAATTCTTGTAAAATGTTTAGATTAGGTTTATTCTGGGCTCAAACAGGTCTGCCATCACTCAAAGGATAGTTGGTAAACCCCAAAAGTGGAAAGAAGGTGCAAAAATCACAAAGACAAAAAGGAAATCCTGATTTTGGTCTATACTCGGTCGAGTATATACATATACTCGATCGGGTATCTGGTTGAAATTTCAAATCGGATCGGATCCGAAAACAAAAGAACATGCAGGAGAAGATTTTCCCACGATCGAGTGTCTATACCCGATCGGGTACACCGACATACTCGATCGGGTATAACTATGGTTTTTACTCGAGTCTCGGTCGAGTATGGACCGAATTCCAGTTTCTACACATACTCGATCGAGTATATGTACATACTCGATCGAGTACTCGACCTGCACCTCAAAAAGCCTATAAATACACCTCCTTTCCTTCACTTTTAGATACCAATTCCTTTATACTCTTAAGCTCAGTTTAGAATAGAATTTCTCTATATTTCTTTTAGCATGTTTAGTCTCCAAATGAGGAGCTAAACTTCCATTTCTTGGTTTTGCTCTTGAAGCTTGATTGATTATTAAAGTTGTGAGTTATTTTCTCACTTTCTCCTCTTGATTATTAATTCTTCCCTTAATCTCATTCTATATCATTGTTGGAGGGTGGCTAAGTGACGATTAGTTAACGTTCCGACATTGATTATTACTAGAAACGTTCAACGAACCAATGGTTAAACGTTGAAGGTTTCATAAGTAAGTAACTTCGGTTTATTAATGCACGGTCGTGGTTAATAAACTTAAGAGGGATTAATTTTGTTGGTTAAACCAAAACCGTTGTGTTGAGGTTATCAATCTCAATTGATTTCATCAAGGAGTTAAAGAGGTTAAATGCTACTATTAAATCGATATACGGCATTGTTCTATATTTGGTTAATAGTAAGGGTTATTAATGAACGGTCGTTGTTAATAACTACCCTCGATGAATTGGATATACTCCTCGATTGAGTATTCGAGAGGGGATAAGTTATAGATATAACAATGATCGACTAAAATATATCAACAAGTGGAAAGTAGTAAGACCAAGTCCCTTTTATTCCTGAATTTAATCCCATATAACTCGTTCATCTTCGTGTTTAATTTGATTAAATCACTCAACAAACAAAACCCCCCTTTATTTACTAGTTCATAAAAAGAGAATTATTCCTTTCCCTGTGGATACGAACTCTACTTCACCTATACTACGTATAAGTGTTAGTATTAAATTTATTTTGAGTGCACTCACGACAAGGTGCACGTCAAATATAAACCACTATAGTTCATCATGTCATTACGATCCTCCTGTGCATTGCCATGGTCAGCGCTAGCTTGTGGGGCACTTCCATTGTCATTCCTAGCCCCCGATTTCTTCTTCCCCTTCTCCAATGGTCCTTTTTGACGGTTTTTTCTCGGAGCACCCTTGCGCTTTACACACTTAGGATCTCCTATGTTTTTTGGAACCTCACATTGCACACGACTACTCGGTTGTGGGATAGATGTTAGGTCGCCACATATGGAAGACCGAGGAACTAGGGGAGAAGTATATATCGACAATTGAGTCTCCAACCAAATAAGCACTACTAGAGAAAGGGCATATCACGTCTCATATATAACGTTTGT